CAGTAAGCTCTGCATTAGTGATCAGAAATGTAATGTATTAAAGTAAGCCATTCATTTAAAAATGTCAAACAATTTTCCTTTCACTGATGGTCATTCTAGAACTGCAGTACCAAATGTTGTAATTCACTTTAATAATAGTCTTGTCAACTCTACATCCAATAAAAAAGTACACCATCATGGCATTTACTTTATAACTTTGGATTAAAGTGATCATTTACAACTATATATATGTAGCATAAATAATGTTGTTGTAAAATATTTAATGTTTAGCATAAGTAGTACTCACATTCATAAAATGTTATTAATGCAATTTGAATTAAAAGAAATATCGCTACTTTAAATGTTTTCCAGCAACTTAAATTCAATAGGCCCTTTGTGGAAAACACTCTAGGAAATCGTTCCAGGTCATTTGGAGTTAGAGGTTAATCGTAACCACGTGGTGTCATTGGGTAAACGTGTTTCAAAACCATGATGTTTTAAAATTTCAATGGTGTTGGTCTGTTCAAATTTATAGTATTATGATTATATTCACATTATGATAAAATTAAGATTATACATTTGAATTACACATTTCTTTGGTAGCTACCTAATGCAAAGATCAATGCCAGCAGTTTTTATAGTACTTTCCTCTGAATCAAGTTAATCATAAAACTCATCGCTAGTGTAACTAGCTGCCAACACCACTGACAACAGAGCATGTCATGAACAAACTTATAAAATCAATTTATTTTTTAAATCCTAAATTATTCACAGTGGCCTTGTGTGAAATGAATTAATTACTACAACACTGTAGATTTAATGCATGATTGATTAATTTTCAGAGGCAAACTGCAATTGTAGATGGATATAACACTGGTTAGGCTCAATGCATGGCTAAATTGGTGAAATGTTGCATATTGATCAGATTAATAATAGAACTTCATATGTTGAAATAAAATATGTTGTTTATATATTTAGATTGCCAATGTGGGTGTTTTTGAAGAGCGTCTACAAGCACTGGAAGAGGCTTACACACAGGCCCAAAAAAAGGCAGATGTTGCACTAGCCACCTCAGAAAAAATCAAATCTACTGATCTTCAAAGCCAATTCTGGTCTCTTCAGTCTGAGATGAATGCCAAACTTTCTGAACTCCAGCAGGAGTCTGTTTCCACTGCAACGTTAAATGCAGTGGTCAAGAATAAGACTGAAGAAATTGAAACTCTGAAGCAGAATCTTAATTCTATCCTTACTGCAAACTCTGAGGTAGCTGTTACCATTTCTGGACTCACAGACACTGTTTTGGTCACCAAAACACATCTCGATGAGCAGATGTCCACTATAGAAGGTCTCACATCTGAGTTGGAGGAACAAAGAATGGAACTTTCAAGCCTGAAGGAATCCTTTATCAGCAACAAGAGGGCTCTTAAAAGAAACAGACAGGAAGTGATGGACATCAAGTGAGTAACCTAAGGGGCTTTGTGGGATTTTCTGTAGCATTTCAGGTCTTTAGCAATTTGGTGTTGTTACTGATACCGATTATTCCTAATTCATCTTAATTTGGTGTCTTCCAGGAACATACTGGAGATGAAACAGGCAAGAAGATCCCAAGCTCTTGAGGATCAACTTATGGCTGTCCGTAGGAGTCTGGAGGACCATCAAAAGAGTACTCATTGCCTTCACTCTCACCTCGCTGCCCAACCTGAGATCGTCCAGAGTCAGGTATAGTTTCATTTTTTCCATATATGATCATTTTGGCATGTCGCATTCTAATGTTTTTTGTGTTTCAGATGTTATCTGAAAGCCAGCTATCCAGTTCAGAGGAAAATATCCCAGTAGAGGAGCAGCAAGTGGAGCAAGCAGAAACTCAGGAGGAAGTTCCAATCAAGGATGAAGGAGTTGAAGCAAAGGATCAAGCCATTACCAAGGAGGAAACAGTAGAGGAGTTTCATGTTGAAGAAGGGGAACGAGTGGTGCCTGAGGAGGACAAGCCAGCTGAAGAGGTTCAGGTTCATGGGGAAGAACCTGTTGAAAAACAAGCCGATGAGAATACAATTCCTGAGGAATCTGAAGTCAAAGAAGATGTTGCTGAAGAGCAAGCAGTAACTGAGGAGGATGAACAAGCTGATGAGGTTCCATTCCACCAGGATATTGTTGAGGAGGAAGCAGTTACTCAACAGGATGAAATGCCTGAGGAGATGCAGGTATCTGACAAGGAAGTACCAGCTGAGGAGGCTCAGGTCCTCGGGGAAGAAGAATCTATTGAGAAGCAAGTAGTAACTGAGGAGGATGCGATAACTGAGGAAGTTCAGGTCAGCGATGGAGATGTTATTGAGGAGCAAGCAGTAACTGAAGGGGATGCGATATCTGAGGAAGTTCAGGTCAACGTTGGAGACATTATTGAAGAGCAAGCAATAACTGAGGGGGATGAAATAACTGAGGAGATTCCAGATCAAGAAGAAGAAGCTGTTCTTGCCAAAGAAGACCCAACTTTCGTGGAAGAAACAGGAACTGACACAAGGGTGGCCGAGGCTGTTGAGAACTTCTCTGAAGATCAGGTGGTTGAAGATATCAGTCGGGGGCAGACGTTGCAGGAGCCACTAGAAGAAACTGAGAAGCAGAAAGACTTGGAAGAAATTGAAGAACATGTGTATGACTCTGAAGAAGAAGAAGAACCTGCTGAGGAGATTGTGGAAGAGCTATATGAAAAAGACATTTCTGCCAATGAAAGTTAAGTTCCTGAGAACGGTTGAATGGTTCAAAATAAAAGACTTTTTCTGAGGACTTGAAATGATCCCGTTTCCCCAATGAATTATGTTATACATGGTATTTCACATTTGTTGAAATGTTCCTCAGTCATACTTTGTATACTCAAAAGTGAACTTTGAACCTAGCAGTGAGTTTTTCAAATCCAATGATGAATTTGTTTTTCTAGTGATATCTCTTAAAATCTTCAATTGCTCTGTTTACACTGAAATGTAGAGAGTGTTGATATTGTTTTACTAGGTTACACATTTAAAGAATTTCAGCGTTTTTCATACAGCAGTTTGCCAGCTAACTAACCTCAGGAGTGTCTCTTGAATAAAACAGCTTTTTATGTTTTTTACTATTTCCCTGTCTCATCATCTCTCTCCTGGTGTTTAGTTGTCTGTTGAAATTAGACACGTGCTGTGTGTGTGTATATTTGCAGCTCTTAGGTCAGGGGTTCAGGAATGTGTCACTGGTCCTGGACACTGGGGAAATGTGTGTCCCATTTGTAACTATAGTGCTTATTTGAGCTCATCAAATGCCTGAAAGACGAGAAGCGTAGCTTGTGCCCTTCTCAACCAAACCACAATTTATAGTGTTGTTCTAAGGCAAGAGATGCTGCTAATTAAATTTGATTGTCAAGTTTTTCTCTTTGCGCTGTTAACAGGAATGGAAGTGATAAATGAGAATAAACTACGAATGAAGAATAATACGAAAGGGCAGAATTTGAATGCAGGTTTCCTCAGGTTAGAAACTTGCTTGACAAAACTTGTTGTGGATGTTTTACTTTTAAAATGTGCTTAGTTGTAATCCTGATTATCCTCGATGAATTTAATTGTTAATGCATTATTATTTTTAAATTATTATTATTATTATGAAATATGACCCGGACATATTTTTAACAGGCTTCGTCACATTTTTCACTGTAGAGACTTTTATTATGAAAGCTAATGGACGCTTTGTGGTCCGCTTCAAAATTCATGGTCACAAGATTAATTCAGCATCTAAAACCTTGTTGAAAAGATTGGATGTAATACAAGCACAAGCATTAAGGATATGTAGTGGGGCTTTTAAAACAACATCTGTGCCAGCGTTACAGGTAGAAATGGGGGAAATGCCATTGGAGCTAAGAAGACAGCAAATCATGACAACATACTGGGTGAATTTACAAGGACATAATAACCATCCTGCAATAAGTGCTGTTGAACCATGCTGGGGACATGGAAAGAGGCAAATAAATAGCTTTGGTTGGGTTGTTAGGAAAAGGGCAAGTGAAATGGGTATAATGGAGAGGAATTACTCTCCAACAGTAGTTCTGCCAACTATAACGTTACCTCCTTGGTTTTTACCACAGCCAGAGATAGATTTTAGCCTCCTTGAACTGATGAGAGATGAATATGGGGGAAATTATAAGATCTTTAATTCATACATCAGAGGAAATTATTACGGTTATTTACAGATTTATACCGATGGTTCTAAAGATCCTAAAACAGGTAGAGCAGCAGCAGCAGTAGTAATCCCTGAGTTTAATGTTGAGTGTGGAAAGAGAATTACCGATGATATATCTGTATATGCATGTGAAATGATGGCCATGATTATTGCTTTGCAATGGGTAGAGGAGGTCAGGCCAGCGAGAGTGGTAATTGCATCAGATTCATGTGCAGCATGAATGAGTTTAAAATTTTGCAACTCCAGGAGTAGAGAGGACTTATTGTATGAAATACTACAATCATTATTCAGAATTCATCAAATACATTTGTCTGTTAGGTTTGTGTGGGTCCCTGCACATGTTGGAATTGATGGGAATGAAAAGGCAGATAAAGCAGCAAAATGTGCTTTGAAGAGTGGAAATAAGCACATAAATATAAATATTAGCAAGTCAGAAGCTAAGGTGGTGATAAAGGGACAGATCAAAAAGATGTGGCAAAATCAATGGAACAAAGAAACCAAAGGGAGATATCTGTTTAAAAATATTCCATTAGTTGGAAAGATAGGAACTGGAGGACAAAATAGGAAAGAGGGGAAGGTTATAACAAGATCAAGGAATGGTCACACTGGTCTAAACAGTTCTCTATGCATGATTGGAAAGCATAATAATGGAAAGTGTGAATATTGTGGAGAGGAAGAAACAGTAGACCATGTTTTATTGCATTGCCAGAAGTATGATTCAGAGAGAGAAATTTTAAAGAATGCACTAAGAGAGAATGGAGAGCAAAATATTAGTAATATTCTTAAAAAATCTGCAGATGATAAGGGTTGGAGTCTACTTCTTCAGTCGGGTTGTGTTGTGTGATGCGGGACGGTGTGAGAGAGAGGGGTTGACTGTCTCCTCGTTCCTCAGTCCTTCCCGCACGGAAACCTATTAATGATATTAGGGGGATTACAGTCACCTCGGGGGGTTTCTGCAGTCCGAAACAAGTCGGCTCTCTATCTGTTATTGGGGAATGAACGACGAGAAAAGCCCGGATAGCGGCAAGAGAAACTCTGGGTATACCAGGTAAAAATGAACCACCGACCGGCTGTTAGCTCATTATTAACTGACCACGACAAAAATAGAATTGTTACAGTTATATTTATATTTTGCGAATACATTGCGTTTTTGAAATGACAACACAAACGCCCAGTGTTTCCTGCTTTCCTGCACACTTTTACGGACGTCACTATAATCGAATTATTGAATCATTAAAACCGATCTTTCGAATTACTGTCTAAACTGAACGTTCGAATCATCTCAACTGACATTTGAGTCACTGTTCATATGGAAGGTTTAAAGTACTCTCTAAAACAAACGTCAGGATCACTGTTCAAATGAAACATTTAAATACATTTTGATTCGAATCAAAAGTTCGAAATCGATTTTTTTAAAAATCACTAAATCGAACCTTAGGCCCTGTGTCCACCAACGCGTTTTTAGCCAGCTGAAAACGCCAGGCGCTCTGCTGAAAACGCCCAGCTGCGAGCGCTTGAGAGCGCTTTTTGTGGCGCAGCGTTTTTTCAGTTGAGACTCTTTGGTTGCTATGATACGGAATATCCGCTAAACTGTTACTTGTATCTGATTTGGTAGATAATTTGTTTCTGACTACAATGTTGACACAATGTAGAGTACTTGCTCTGGTCCTTGCTTTGGATGGAGGGGTGGTTGAACCACGTAGAAAGAAAGGACGGACCCGCTGGTCTGTGTGGGTTCATGAGATTTTGGGCGCGCGAAAACAGCTCGGTGAGTATAATCGTTTGGTCCAAGAACTGAAGTTGGACGGAAGCCGGTTCAAGGAGTACTTTCGGATGAGCAGGGCACAATTTGAAGTGTTGCTTCAGAAAATCGGACCTTCTATTACAAGGCGAGACACAAATTACCGGGAAGCCATCAGCTCGGAAGAACGTCTCTCCATTTGTCTGAGGTAACCTATGTGCATAGGTGAAAGAATTATTATGCTTACATTGATATTTTTCTAATTAATCTGAAAATGCCAAGGTATTTTATCAGTGAAGTAAAAATAACATATTTGTCAAATATTTGTCTCGTAGAGTGTAGCATAATTATTAAGTTATTAATGATAGCCTAATAATTTCTTTGACAGAAAAAAAACGTAAATAATTGCAATTTATTAAACCGATATAGCAGCAAAAAAGATACAGCATCACTTTAACATTGAAGTTCACATAGTATGCTACACTACCTCCACTGGTGTTACCAGGGACTCGAGGAGAGCCTCTACACTGACATCCTCCTCACATGTCCTATTTTGACTGAAATTGCTAGAGGTGTCCCTGTCCTGGATGTAAGGCTCCAGAAAGTTTAGAATGGACATAAACTTCCACCTCCGATTGCCTCCTGCTGCCCCTGAACCTGACCTCTTTCTCTCTTTCTCTTCATTTTTCTCTCTTTTATATGTGTCCCTCAGGTACTTCCACTTTTTACGACATTTTTCTACTGAAATTTATATGGACAACAGGATTAGTCCGTTTAAAAAAACAAAAACAAAACAACTGAAGCAAGAAAATTATTCTGACTGCCAGACATTAACGTTACATATATAACGTTACATTTTAACAAACAAAACGGTTTGCAAGCTAGGCTACATAGCTTTTTCCTTATTTCCTAATTAGTTGTCTAGGTAACTGCTGCTTACCTGGTAGACCCACGGCAAAGGAAATGTTCCTCCAGGCATTATTCTTCAAATTTACATTGTGGTAGTCCGGGGAAGTCATCTGGTAGAGACATGGATGCTCAGAAACCAGCAATATTAATTTCTCCTCCATTTTTCCCGTTGTTGCGCTTGTTGACACGTCGTTGTAACAAAATGATTGTTGTGACAGTTGATCGGTGTGGAATTTGCCCCGCCCCTCCTGCACTCTGATTGGTTAGCTGACTACGGACACGGGGCCTTAGAATCACTGTCTAAATTGATATAATCGGTATTACTGTATAATCAGATTGCGGAATCCCTGTCTACATCGAACATTAGAATGAACATTAGAATCAACGATGCTCAAAAATCACTAGGTTTTAAGACAAAATATTATGGTACAAAATTCCTTGGAAATTACTAAATCTTCGGCATCTCGTTGTTGACAGCATGGTTTGATAAATAAAGTTTACTTGAACTTGTACTGTTATTATATGACACTAGGTGACAATGCATCCTAGGTAATGCATAGTTTTGTGTTATTGAAAACCTGTCTTACCTGAAAAAACTCACATTTAGAGCTTGATTAGACTGCAACATCCGATCCATCTCTGTGGCTTTGTGTTTCTCTGTTCCCAGTATTGAGCAAATGCTGGCTGTGAACCCCGGGAAGACGCCCATCAGTCTGCTGCAGGAATATGGAACGCGGATAGGCAAGACTCCAGTGTACGACCTGCTGAAGGCTGAGGGTCAGGCCCACCAGCCCAACTTCACCTTCCGCGTGTCTGTGGGAGACATCAACTGCACTGGCCAGGGCCCCAGCAAGAAAGCTGCCAAGCACAAAGCTGCCGAAGCTGCCCTGAAAATGCTGAAAGGAGGAATGCTGGGAGGGATTGGAGGGAATGGGATGGATGGAGAAGGGTTTATCGGGATTGATATGGAGGGAGAATGGTAAAGATCAGATTGTGTGCCCATTTGAACAGAAAATACATTACACAAAGTTCTGTTTTTCCAAAAACTAAAGATTTAACAGGTTTCTGGCTTTTACATCGTGTTTTTTATTTATTTATTTTGTCCAATGTGTTTTAGCCTTCAGTCAGAGATGAAACCATCCAGTTCAACACAACAAGCTGAGTGCAATCCAGTCGGAGCTTTGCAGGTGAGAGGCAATGACATACATTTCAAAATCAGAACAGAGTATAAAAAACTAGGCACCATACACTTGCCGACTTTGTAAATGGTTAAAGAGAAAAATTGGCCATTGTACACTAAATGACTGAGAATCACACACTTGCACAGAAAAACGTGCACAGAAACGTGTCTCATTTCTAGGAGACGTGATGAATAAAACAACAGTCTAAAATCCCTCAAAAATGTGAAACATGTTCAATATCCTCCTACAGGATGGAATCAAGGTCTGAAACAAACAAAAAAATAAAATCACAGTTTGTGCCCATCATACACTTCATAATTTTCTGTGAAATCTGTCGAAATTTCAACTGCCCAAAACCTGCAGACTAGCTCAGACTTCTCGGCAACTACCGTTGACTTGTCCAGACTGCAAATTAGGACAAAAATTTGTGCAAAGGTTTTATAGTGTATTCCAGTCTTAAGACAAAGATCCTTGTCAGTCATTGAACTGCAGATTTTGTGCTCCATACTTAATAGATTAAAAGCTGAAGAAAAGAGCCGTATGCGTGTGCTAATTTTTGATGTGGCAATTAAGCATGAATAATATCAACTGATAGTAGCATTTTTTTAATCATCCACATCAGTCTGTGTAAGGCAAGCCAATATTGGAAGCAGATAGTGTCAGTGCTTACTTCTAGCTTGAACTGTGTGTATAAGTGTGTATATACAGTTCAAAATATATACACATGTATATTTTTCTTTAAGTTTGTCGCGTTGAAAGAATCGTTATTTTTAACCTGGCAGCAAAAAAACAGCATATATATTGGTAATATTATTGTTATGTCATATCAAATATACATGTATATTACTATACTAATATCATGAAGCTTATGTTGATTGTGCTTAAAAATGCTATTTCCACAGGAACTAGTAGTGCAGAAAGGCTGGCGTTTACCTGAGTACACAGTCACTCAAGAATCTGGGCCTGCACACCGCAAAGAGTTTACAATGACCTGCAGGGTGGAGAGATTTGTTGAGATAGGTACAACCTTTTTTTTTTCTATAGTGATTCTTTTTAAATATGCAGTCCATTCAAAGTATTGCATGTCTTTAATCTTGTTTTTAAGGTAGTGGCACATCAAAAAAGCTTGCTAAAAGAAATGCAGCTGCAAAGATGCTCTCTCGTATCTATGATGCACCAGTGGACATGCGTAGCAGCCATGAGGCCGAAGCAGAAGATGACACCTTCAGTATAGTAAGACGTCCAGTATTTACTAAGCTGTAAATACAATTTTAGGGTGGTTTTATGAATGTGCCTGTTTGAAAATATCATCTTTCTTCAACAGCAAATAGGTGGCAGAGTAGACGGAGGGAAGTCTAAAGGTCTCGGTTGCACATGGGACTCTCTGCGGAACTCTGCCGGGGAGAAGATCCTACAGTTGCGCTGTCATCCTCTGGGCCAACCTGACTCCAATGACTCCAATTTTTGTTCTCTCCTTCGTGAGCTCTCTGAGGAACAACGCTTTGATGTCAGCTACCTTGACATAGGTAAGATACAAGCAAGCAAGCAAATTTGTATTTATATAGCACTTTTTCACACAAGTTAATACAGTTCAAAGTGCTTTACAAGCAAGAAGGACCCAAATACAAAAACAATAGAATACACCAAATACAAAATAGAAATAAATCCATTAAAATACAAGAACAAAAATTAAAGTTTAAATGATTAAAATATGAAATATAAAACAAAAACATTAAAAAATAAAGGAAAAACGAAACATAACATATACAAAGACTTTATAGGACATTACAGGAAAGCCAGACTAAAAAATGTTTTTAATTTAGATTTAAAATTATTAATACTTTCAGCACATCTTATGTCCGCTGGAAGGTTGTTCCCGGAGTCGAGGAGCATAACGGCTAAAAGCAGCATCACCACATTTTTTAGTTCTACTATGTGGTACAGTTACAAGAAAAGAATCTGAAGATCTGAGAGTCCTTCTGGCTTCATATACTGGAAGCATTTTTGAAAGATAGTCTGGAGCAAATCCGTGCAATGCCTTATAAACTAATAAACGATTTTTAAAATCAATATGAAAACTAACAGGTAAGCAGTGCAATGACTTGAATAATGTGATCTCTTTTTGGCTTTTGTCAATATTCGAGCAGCAGTATTTTGGATTCGTTGTAGTTGATTAATTGTATTCTTTGGTAGACCCGAAAGGAAGGCATTACAGTAGTCAAGCCTAGTGGTCGACCGATATGGTTTTTTTTGACAGCCGATACCGATCACGATATCTTGGAAAGCAGGGTGGCCTATGGCCGATATAAAGCCGATTGTAATTTTATTTATTTTAATTCATATTTAAGAAATTTGAAATCATTTGAAAATGGATTAAAAAATAAACGTGTAAAATAAACATACTTATACTCTAGAAGACAAAGTATTTTTCACAAATAAATATTTAATAAAAATATAATTAAAAAGGAAGTAAACTCTGTAACCAACAGGGCACTCAGTATTCTGGGAAGTTTGTGTGCATTGGGAATCACATTTTTTCAAATAAAGCCAAGGTAACACTCATTTTACATACAGCACACAGTGAAAATGACATGAATATGACAGTGGGCAAATGCATAAAGCGCAGCATAATTTGAAATCAGTCACGAGTTTAAAGTTAGTCGATCGCGCGTCTCCAGTGAAGCTGAACTCTCCTCCTGTCCGTATTCAATTCGCACGGACCATAGGACTGACCGTCACAGAACACGCGATCATGCAGGTCACATGCACACTTCACAAGATCGCAACTAGATTTGGTAAGTCTGCAAGGTTTGTGAAATTAAATGTTCATTAGTCATTCAAAGATTTGTTTAAATTATATAAATGCATATTTGCAGAATGCTGACGGCAAACGAGAAAATATTATAATGTTTGCCTTTAATAATATTAAAGCAGTCATTATAATACTTTTTTGTATACATTTTAATTCCTTTGTTTATTAACAGTTCTATCTGATTATTAGATAGACTTCTATCCATATTAGACAGAACTGAATGACAACAGCGAACAAGAGGGAGAATGTAAGCACTTTGTGCTCAGGCGCTGCTGCAGCAGCAGTTCTCGGCGCCGTCAAAATAAAAGTCCCGCCTCGAACACATCGGCCAAACAGGAAAAACATATCGATATTTTGAAAAATGGCAGATATCGGCCGATATATCGGCCTTGGCAATATATCGGTCGACCACTCAAAGCCTGCTAGTTATAAATGCATGCATTAATTTTTTATATATTGCTCAGTGAGAGAAATGGTCTTACTTTAGCGGTGTTCTTCAGATGATAGAATGCAGTTTCTGTAATATTACGTACATGAGCTTTAAAGTTAAAATCCGAATCAAAGACGACAACTACGTTTTTTGCCACTTGGCTTGGGTTTAATCCTAGTATCCTAGGTTAGGGGTCAATTTCTCTCTCTGTGCTTTTGATCCAATATTCAAAACTTCAGTTTTATCTTTTTTGTGACATCCAGTGACAAGGCTTGTCTAACAAGCCCATTAAGTCATTTAAGTGTTTTAAAAGAATAGTTCACCCAAAAGATGTTGAAACCACTAACTACGCTACTCGGGGTAATAAGCAAAACAAGAACCAGTTGTGTTTTCTTAAATTCTTAGAAATTTACTATTTTTCGGACTTTGTTCATTCAGAGGAGCGCAGTTTGAGTGGCCTTTGCCAGTGTCTGGTGGAGTTGTCCACGCAGCCCATTACCGTCTGCCACGGATTCGCCTCCAGCCTTGATGCAGCACGTGTCAGCGCTGCCCACAACGCCCTTCAGTACCTCAAGATCATGGCAGGGGGGAAATAAACCACAGCAACAGCTCTCCTGTAACATTTTTTTTGTTTTCTTTTTGCTACCCAGAGGAAAATAGGAAAATCAGGTGAATTGAAGCTTACCTCTCCTGCTCCCAGTTGTGTAATACGAGGGGCTTGTTTGTTGTCAGTAGGTGCACTATAATTGCAAGGCCCTTGTGTTTGAGTCCTTACTGCTAGCAGCTGTGAAATCAGTTGGAGGACGTACTGATTTTCTCATTTTCACCTTGAATATGACACCAAAAGTGTGTACCCTTGCTCCTCAGTGCCTCTAAACAAAGGCAGGGGACACTTAATTTGAAACCTGAGAACAAAGAATCACAGGTGTTCAATGTGAGTGAATTTATCTCTGCAATTCATCTGGAAAGTGTCATATGTATTTCTTAACAAATAACTGAACTTTGCCCAGAAGTTTTCATCTTTTAACTTTCCCTCTGAATTTTTTTTTGTTTTTTTCATTTAAATTATGGCATAGAGAATTTGCTCTGTGACCTTGATGAATTGATGAACCTAGGACAGCATGACTTTTTTAACTGTAAATATTTCACTTTTGTACAATTTATTTTCATTATATTTTAGTAATAGAAGTTATTCATTAACATTTAGTTTGCTTCATAGAACGTGTTAGTAAAATAAAGCTTTTCTCTCGGCTATTGAAAATAATATAATTTTTAACATTGGCCTGACAGTCAAGTGGTAAATATCTACCTCTGTGCAAGTGTTTCTGCCTCACAGGCTTCATCATTACATTTGGACTGGCAAAGATTGAATTGTTCATATTCAATATAATAGTATATGACCAACAACAGTAGTATGTGACTGTGTGACAACTGATGTAATTTGTACCAAATTGGTGAATCTGTGATCTATTGAATATTTTATCTTGAACAATAAACTTGAAATTGACATTATCTTCTGCTTTGGGCATTTAGTCATTTGTGACCACAAAACCCAGTCTTAAGTCACTGGGGTATATTTGTAGCAATAGCCAAAAATACATTATATGGGTCAAAATTATAGATTTTTCTTTTATGCCAAAAATCATTAGGATATTAAGTAAAGATCATGTTCCATGAAGATATTTTGTAAATGTCCTACTGTAAATATATTAAAACTTAATTTTTGATTAGTAATATGCATGGCTAAGAACTTCATTTGGACAACTTTAAAGGCGGTTTTCTCAATTTTTTGGCACCCTCAGATTCCAGATTTTCAAATAGTTGTCCTATCCTAACAAAGCTTATTTATTCAGCTTTCAGATGATGTATAAATCTCAATTTTGAAAAACGGACCCTTATGACTGGTTTTGTGGTCCAGGGTCACATTTGTTATTTAGCTAATTCTATTCATCCTTAGCAAATTATATTCATCTTGTTTGCATGTTTTGCAAAAGTGGTCCTGTTGTACTTAACCTGCCTCAAGAGGGCAACAGAGTTAGATTTTAATGTCAGTAGTGGATCTGAAGAAGAATGTTTATGCTAATAAACATTAAAACAGCTTGTTTTGTGTTCACATACTTGGTTTCAATGAGAATGAAAAGAGTTTTTTATGGACAACATTTCTGTATTCAAATCATTAATTTTGTGTTTCCGAGTCACCTCTGCATTATCATACAAGTTCCTTAACCAGTCTACCAAAACTCAATAGTTCAAATAAATTATTTATTACCATTGTGGAATTACAAATGAAGGCAATATGTACAGCAGTTCATCCATCTGAACAAGAAAACGAAAAAGTGCACAAAATGAGAAGCCTAATACAAATAAAACTATTTCAAAACCGGATTGTATGCATCATTCTAGGCTGTTGGTTTTCACATTAGAGTAACATTAAAGCAACATTCATACATGCTCCTGGTCTTACTGTGCATGGCTTATCTGTGCAAGTTATTCCAAAGATAAAATCATTCCTGTTGGACAAATCCACTTAGAAAGATAGGTTTGCAAACACCATTTCATGTTCACTTTAAGGATATTAGTAGATGCACTTTGTGCTTCATTAGCCTGAGATTTAATGTTATGTTTTCTCTGGGGTTAAGAGGGAATGGTGCACATCCTCTTCAGCATATCCACTGCTATCCGACTGAAAACTGTCCCCTCGCAGGGGCGACGCTGGGAAAGAGAAACAATGCGTAAAAAATGGATGATTTTGAATTCAGTTTCAACCGTTTCTGTGAACCAAAAAAAAAAAAAGGATATTATGCAGATTATTTTGTGACTTCCTGTTAGGTTGTTTCCCTGAAATGTGACAAGGCAGACAAGATCAGCCAGACTAATTTGCCGCGAGCGATGTGTTTTTAACAAGTCAGCAAAACACCTCCCTCTATCACCACATTAACACATGCTGCTTTCTGTGAACTTGTAAGGCTGATTTTGCTGATTATCAGCTGAATTTATTTTACTAAACTGATCAAGAACTAGTCAAATTACTGGTTAAAATTTGCCTCATGACTTCTAATCATGATAAGGACTACTCATGCTACTTACATTTGTGTTGATGCGTCGAAACAGACAATGTGACTGTGGAGCAGAATTCTGATGAAGTGGCTTCCTCTTCCTCTGCACTGTGAACCTGAATTGAAACCCTATACTTAATGATCATCCCACAACACAATGCCACAGTATAGAAAACTAGACTTTTACTTTGCCAGAGTGCTGTTTTCCTTTACAAAACATGCTTCCTCAATGCTTGTTTGCTAAGCATTTTCAAATGTGTTCTTTGTGGTTTTTAGCATGTTGCTTACTGGCCAAAGTCAAATAAGCCAACCCCAAAGTTTCTATGATACTACTGTCGTTCATTGATTAGGGGAAATTGTAAGTTTGAGGCATCGTTCATGTCCAAAACACAAACATGGATGAGATACATGCCACATTTGAATGCTTAAAGGGACAGTTCACCCTAGGAATGTATGACGTTCCATTTGTGCCAAAAATGAACCGACTGCTTTGTGCTTTATACTACACATTTGTCCTTGTCTACAGTCATTGCCTACTTGTTCAGCTAAATTAGTATATGTTGATATGTATGTCCTCTGTTTATGTTGTATTGTTCTGTCATCCTTACTGTCATCTTTACTGATGTTCTGTTCTGTCATCCATACTAGAGCCCAACCGATATATCGTTTTGCCGATATTATCGGCCTATATGAGCCTGTTGCCGATATATCGGTATCGGCGAATATGCCGCCGATATGAACATTTTTTTTACAGAACATATAATGCAAATAAAATACTGTTGTCTTTACTCGTGTTCTGTTCTGTCGCACTTACAGAGCGTGGTGAAATTAGTTTTAGCCTTGATATTCACTGCATATTTGCCTAGGCTGCTTAAGAGGCTGTCTGCAAATTCCACACACAGTGCAAAAACAAAGGAAGTCAAATCATTCATTCAAATTAATATTTTTTTCAAGGTTATAGTAAATGGCTAATGGGCAGACTGACATACTATATATGTGCTATTGCCAGTATCTCACGTTATACGTGTACAGTACTCAATTATTTTAGGGAAAAAAACTAATTCACCTACATGTTATTTTCAAATTCCAGTTGCTATAGTAGGCTATATTCCTAGTGATATTTTGTCAATACCTCCCTTCATAAACATACAATACAGTATTATTTTTTAGAAATTAAAACTTTTATTACAACACCTGTAGAAAGTCAGTCTGGTCACTAGAAATGTACTGTACTAAACCTTTGGAACATGAAAAAAAAATCCTTTTGGTGAATTACAATGTTTTTTTTCTAAAATAATACTGTACTGTACATACATGAAGGGGTGTACTGGCAAAATCTCACCTGTAGTAAGTCAGCCTGGTCACTAGTACTGTATTACAACCTTTCAAACGTGAAAAAAAAAAAAAAACTTTCGGTTAAGTAGAGTAATTTTTCTAAAAATAATACTGTCACTAGTAATGTATTACAACTTTTGAAACTTGAGAAAAAACATTTTGGTGAATTACAGTAATTGTCTTCTAAAAATAATAGTGTACTGTACTTAAATGGAGGTATTGGAAAAATCTCACCTGTAGTAAGTCAGTCTGGTCACTAGTAATGTACTACAACCTTTGGAACATGGAAAAATAATTAGTATTTTTTTTATATAAAAGAATGCTGTACTGTACATCATTTTTCTTAAAATTTTTCTTACTATACACTACATTTATAAAGGGACGTATTGGCAAAATATCACTAGGAATATGGCCCACTATAGCAAATGTAATTTGAACATAATATCTAGGTGAAATACTGTTTTTTTCCCCTAAAATAATTGAGTACTGTATGCGTATAAAGTAAGATACTGGCAAAAGCACATATAGTCAGTCTGCCCACTACCCGTTTACTATAATATAACCTTGTAAAAATTATACATTTGAATGAATGATTTGACTTCGTTTATGTTTTTGCACTGTGAGTGAAATTTGCAGACAGTCTCTTAAGCAGCCTAGGCAAATATGCAGCGAATATGGAACCAAAAACTAACTTTACCGTGCTCAGTAAGCGCGACAGAACAGAACATGAGTAAAGACAACAGTAAGGATGACAGAACAATACAACATAAACAGAGGACATGCACATCAACAGATACTAATTTAGCTGAACAAGTAGGCAATGACTGTAGACAAGGACAAATGTGTAGTACAAAGCACAAGGCAGTCGGTTCATTTTTGGCACAAATGGAACCTCATACATTCCTAAGCTGAACTTTCCCTTTAAGCATTCAACTGTGGCATGTATCTCATTCATGTTTGTGTTTCGGACATGAATGATGCCTCAAACTTACAATTTTCCCCTAATCAATGAACGACAGTAGTATCATAGAAATCATTTTACTCACCCTCATGTCAATCAAAAACTGTATGACTTTCTTTCTTTTTCAGAACACAAAAGATATTTTGAAGAATGTTTTAAATGTTTTTGGACACACAGTGAAGGCCAGTGCAGACCCCACTTTCATATTTTTCACTTTGTCAGACATTTTCAAACGTCTTCTTTTGTGTTCAACAGAAGCTCTGGAACAATATGAGGGTGAGTAAATGATGACAATTCTCATTTCTGTAATAGTGTAAAAAGTAATAGCGCAAAAGCTGTTATGACACATGCTATTATGTGTTATGACAACAAGTCACATCATTTCTATGCAGAGGTGGAATACAAAGAGGAAGTTTGGAGGTGGATTCAGCAATAAAGAGTTGAATAATACTCTGTTAATGACGTCTAACGGGAGAATCTGTGGGCAACTGCTCTTGACATGAAATGCATTAAAATGATAAGGGATAGCGTACCTCTTCCAGCTCGAAGGAGTTGCCTTGTTTGCTCAGGTTTAGTGGTTTTACTGGACTTAGGAACCTCTTGATGTTGGATGAACTCTGCTCCTGTGTGTCTCTGTTGGAAAGGGTGGTGTCGTCCTCCCATCCAGTGATTGTGATCTGACATAACTCTGACTTGGGTAAATTCATTGCTTTTGATTGTCTTACAGAAGGTTTATTTGTCATCTGGTGTGCAAATGGTTTGTTTTTGATATCCATACTATTTGTGTGTAGGCAGCGATAAGGTGCCTGATTCACATATTCAACAACCTGAGGACATATGATATCATGGGCAATGATAGGAACAGGTTCCATAACACTGGAGCTATTCGAGAGAACAGAACGCAGGGTACCATCTTTGGACTTCACGTCCATGTCCGGTTTTGGTTCTAGGCAAGGTGTACACTCTGCTAATGCATGGCCGAAGTTGTGTATGTTTTTATTTGTCATCTCGGATAGTGACTGACAAGGTACATGGTCCAAGGAATCAGTCCTTTCTGTGTTTTCCCCATACGTCTCTTCCTCAAGTTCTTTCTTGCTCTCTATAAACCAGACCAAGTCTTGTTCTAAATCATCTACTTCCATTTGAAGACATAACTCTTC